GGGGGTCTCGATCACTAATTATATGCCTTGGTAAGCCCCAATACTTCACCATGTTCTTAAAGAACAGCTTGGCGGCTTCCTTGGCTGTGCAACCTGGTGAGGCGGGCATGAAGGTGGCATATTTGGAAAATCTATCCACGACCACTATAATAGTACCATAACCGTCGGACTTCGGTAGGCAAGTAATAAAGTCCATAGTTACGCTCTCCCATGGACGCTCTGCAATTGGTAGTGGCTCCAAAAGTCTTCCGGGTTGTTGTTGTTCAACCTTGTCCTGTTGACAGACAAGACAAGTATGCACATAGCACTCTATGTCATCATGCATGCATGGCCAATAGTAGACTGACTCAACCAGGGCCCTAGTGCGACGTTGACCTGGATGACCAACCCATATTGTGTCATGACTCTCCCTTATGATCCGTCGTCTAATGTCTCCAAATTTAGGCATGTAGACCCACCGACCTGTGGTAAGTAGTAGGTTGTCTTCTATCCAAAACCGTCTCGTCTTACCTTTGTTGGCTAACTCGATAAGCTGTTTGGCTGCTAGATCATGCTGCATGCCTTATTTTATAGCCTCCCTAATGTCCCATCTCGCTGAAGTAATTGCAGCAAGCTCGGCTTTCCGGCTCAAGGCATCCGCTACAACATTACCGTTTCCCGGCTTATACTCCAGCGCATAATCAAACTCGGCCAAGAAATCCTGCCACCTAGCCTGCTTTGGTGTGAGCTTCTTCTGTGTCTGAAAGTAGCTAGTATCCACATTTTCAGTCTTGACCACGAACCTCGACCCGAGCAGATAATGTCTCCATGTACGAAGGCAATGCACAATGGCAGTTATTTCCTTCTCTTGTACCGTGTAACGTCGCTCCGTCTCATTTAACTTGTAGCTCTCAAATGCTATGAGATGCTTATCCTGCATCAGGACACCCCCAATTGCGAAGTCTAAGGCATCTGTATGCACCTCAAATGTCTTGGCAAAGTCAAGTAACACCAAGACTGGCTCCTCTGTTATAGTTGTCTTAAGGCATTCAAATGCCTTTTGACAATGCTCCGTCCAAACCCATGGCTTGTTCTTCTTTAACAACTCAGTCAATGGTGCGGCCTTTGCTGAGTATCCACTGATGAACCGACGAAAGTATTAACAAGGCCAAGGAAGGATCTCAACTCAGTTACCTTTATAGGTTCCTCCTACTCCTGGATAGCACGTACCTTAGCCTCGTCCATGCGTAGCTATCCATTGCTAATAACATGGCCCAAGAAGTGCACCTTTGATTGTGCGAACTCACATTTCTCCCTCTTGATGTATAGCTCATTCTCTCGCAAGACTTGGAAAACCTTCCTTAAGTGCTCCAAATGCTCCTCCAAGGTGTTGCTATAGATGACTATGTCGTCTAGGTAGACTACCACGAACTGATCAAGGTAGGGATGAAAGATCTTGTTCATAAGGGTGCAAAATGTGACCGGTGCATTAGTTAAGCCGAAGGGCATTACCAACCACTCAAAGGCTCCATATCTTGTCACACACGCTGTCTTTGGCTCATCCCCTTCCGCAATGCGAACCTGGTAGTAGCCCTTTCAAAGATCCACCTTGGTAAAGTACTTGGCTTGCCCAAGTCTATCGAACAAGTCGGCAATGAGCGGGATCAGGTACTTATTCTTCACGGTGACCTTATTAAGTGCTCGGTAGTCTATGCACAAACGCAATGATCCATCCTTCTTCTTCTGGAACAATACTGGTGCGCCAAAAGGTTCCTTTGATGGGCGAATATGACCAGCATCTAACAGCTCCTTCAATTGGTTCCTAAGCTCCTCTAGCTCGAGAGGTGCCATACAATATGGGGCAAATGCGGGTGGCTTAAGCCCTGGCTCCAACTCAATCTTGTGATACACCTCTCGCCTAGGTGGCAGGTTCTTAGGCAACTCCTCGGGCATGACATCTTTGTTTTCCTCAAGCAACTGCTCGATGCAAGGCAACAGTGTCTCTTGAAAACTCTTGTTTTCCTCCAGACTTGTGATGGTTGCCACGAACATCGGCTCCCCCTTCTTGATCCCCTTGACAACCTGCATAGCTTAGAGTTGTGCTTGGCTCTGTCTGTGTGGCATAGTCATTGTAGGTACCACACAAGCTCCTTCTCGCTCCATAACCAAGAGACGTTGGAGGTAAGGGCCGATTAAAGTATGACAATGTCTAAAGAACTCTTGCCCCAGTATGATGTCAAAGATATCCATAGTGGTTACGGTAAAGTTTGTCATACCTTTCCAAGTTCCCAATTTGACACCAACTCCATTAGCTACCCCACGAGCATTCTGTATCTCGACATTCACGGTCTTGACGCGAGAGTTGGTTGGAGCAAGCTTCAATTCCAGTCTCTTTGTAGCAGCCTCAGTCACGAAATTATGAGTTGCTCCAGTATCCACCATTGCACGAGCGAGCTTGTTGTTGATGGTGAGATCCATATACTGATTGCCATTCTCGGTAGGTTGGATAGCTTGCTTCGTGATAGCACCACATAATCCGATCATACCCAACTGTGTGGTTCCCGAACTCTCTCCTTGTGGCTTCTCCTTCCGCTCACGTACTATGTCACTGAGGCTCTTGAGGTCAGGACAATTCCTAAAGCCATGTGGCCCTCCGCATATATAGCATCCCTTTTTCTCGACCTGCACCTTCTTCTCGGCATAGCCCTAACGACCACTCGACTTTTTGAAGTCTTGAGTCTTGGAGTATTGTTGTTGTATCTCCTTGACTTTGCCATGGTTTCCCCCACCTTTGACATTATTAACCTTTGACTCCTTGCCATTGCCTTTGTCGTGCTTGTCATGCCTGAAATCCATCAATGATCCAGCCTCCACTGTGGCTTGGTCTATATCAGTGACTTGTCGGTGTTGAAACTTCTACTTAGCCCAATTTTGCAATCCATCCATGAAGTGGAACAACAAGTCATCATTGGTCAGGTTGGGGATTTGAAGCATAAGGGTAGTGAACTCTTTGACATAGTTACTTATGCTTCCTGTTTGCTTCAATTCCCTAAGCTTGCGCCTTGCCTCGTACAAGACATTGTTTGGAAAGAACTGTCGCTTGAACTCGCTTTGAACTGATCCCATGTGCTAATAGTACATAGACCTTTATCCACGTCGGCCATCTTCCTTCTCCACCATAGCATGGCAGTCTCTGAGAGGTACAATACCGCAGTGTTGTTCTTGGCCTCGTCATCCCTCACTTTGCCGTGCCTAAAGTAATTCTCCAAGTTCCAAAGGAAGTTTTCCACTTCTTGTGCATCACAAACACCTTTGAACACCGGGGGTTTGGGAGCCTCGATCTTGGCCTCCCTTGTCACCACAACATTGCTGGTTGCCTCGGTCACGCCAGCATTGACATACTCCTCGAGTGACTCTATCTTTTCCTTCATAGCATCGATAATACTCAAAGTCTCCATGAGTCTACACTCTAAGGTAGTGATAGTTTGCCTTAGTTCCATCTCGGTATGTGTACGTCCCTCCAAGTCATTTCAGATACTCTCAATCTCTTCAAGAGTGTGCCCCTTAAGAATGTTAAGGGTGCCTTCCACCTTCCTCAAGCATTGGCCAAAGACTTCCATGACGTTCATCCCCACGTTAATCTCCATCACCCACTCTTTGCCGAGCGAGACGTCCTCTGGAAGGACCTCCACTTCATCCTCGCTCGGCTCAGTGACAGATGGTTCTTGGGATGTAAGCCCTTCGTTTGACACAACCTCAGGTGGCACCTCCTGGCTCCTGTTGGTGGTACTTCTCTTTTTGCTACGGCCGCTCTTGCCAGCAACATCCTGGATGACGTTGGCTTGGGTGTTGGCAGCGTTAATTTCTCCGTCGTTCTTCATTCCCTTAGTTGAAACCTTCGCTCTGATACCACGTTGTCATGTCCTTAGTTGTTAACTAAGTACACGTGCGACACTTGACAACTCGCTCACGATCTTGCACAACTTGCTCACGTTCTTGCTATGTCAAGTCAGCCTTACTACACTCAAGATCGCTAAGAGAATGGAAGAAAGAACACAAGAGAATTGTTAAAGGAAGCTTTGTATTAGAGAGAACTTGAATTGTTTGCTTGATGAATTACAAATGAATGACCCCCTTTATATACTAGTCTCCTAGGGGCTAGTGTGTAAGTATTAATTATTACACAAGTCCTTGATATTTACAAGATAAGGGCTTTTTCTAGAATTCTCTACAAGCCTAGAAGATTCCAAGGACTTTCCTAGCAAATCCATAAGGATCTAGGTTCTTCCTAAGGAACTGTCCATACCTCTCTAGAATCTTCTCACAAATGCTAGCCTTCTTCTTATGTAAGCTCCTACATGGCATTAATATATGCCAAATGGCGCCTATGTGGCATGATGACATGGCGGGTCATCACAAGAGGCTCAATCTCCAATGAAAGAAAAGAAAAAAATATGAAAGTTACAGCCAAATTTTAGTTCCAATACTTGGTTTTACTTTAACCCTTTTTTGTTTTATTATTTTACGATAATTACTCCCAAATTTATTTATAATTATTGAAGTTTTTTCATCAAAAAGGGAAAATTGGTTGTAACTATTAAAATTTTAAAGATTATAGTATTAGAATTTATTAGTTACAACTACCACTATTTTGTGATATGACTTGAATAATGGTCAAAGACATGTGATCCAACTTGCTTACAATCTTCAGCAGCTCATAAGTAGACAAGGATAGCCATTGCCCCATAGCCTTTGCCTTTCTCGCCATTTCTCAATGAATGATCGTCAAATCAAATTAAATATGAACAGAGAATGATGCAGGATTGAAATTGAAGAAGAAGAACTAAGCTATGGCTAAGAGATAAAATAGGCAAAAAGAAGGATAATACTCATTAGCTTTTAGGAATGTGAATACATAGATATATGACTCCACTCACTCACTACAGACAAACGAGGATAACTAACTCTGTGGACCCCATATAATTTAAACATAATATAAAATAACTCTTTATGGTCTAAAGTATAATATAGGGCACTTGCAGAGTGATTTTGATTCTTTGTTCAACAACTGAAGATATCTTCGCCGTCGTTAATGGTTTTCGATGTGCAAACTCCTCTCTTCTCTACTATTTTGATCTTTTGGAATTAGGATTTTCGAAAACCGCTTTTCAGTTTGACTGCCACCAAATTTTATCTGACTCTTTAAAAAAACACTTGTAGATCGTCGATCATTGAAGTGTTGTTTTTTCTTGTGATTCTGTTCTCCTTCTTGTTTTAATTCCTCTATTCATAATAGCAAGATTTCTGGGGGTTGCATTTCAATTTTTTCAGTTGATCTCTATTTTGTTGTTCATCTATTGGACTGAATTCTGGGGGGTTTTCCATACTCTATGCCGGGCAGAAATCCATCAGTTGAAAAAGAATTCCTATCTATTCTTCTCTTTTGATTTTTTGTTTTAATAACGAAAACAATATTCTTGACTGTTAAAGTGTCAATAAAACGATAATCTTGTCTATTGACGTTTCTTCAAGTGTGTCGTCACCAAATTCGCATTTTTCTGCCACTGGTGACGGTGACAGTCCAGCCCGCCTATATTTTTCTTGGATATGTGGGTGTTTATGTGTATTGCAGGTATCACTTTTGTGGCTGTTTAGTGGCAGTAGGGAGGTGCACACGCACAAGAAGTAGAGCAGCAACTATACGCCGGGTTCCGCAGTATCGGGAGTATACCAAGTGGAAAGATTCAGGTTCTATGCGCGGGAATTGGTACCTCCCGTCTCCTATTTCTCTTGTTTCTTGTGTTAATTACTTTGTTGTCATAGTATTTCATACTAGTCTAGTCAGTCTAATAGTGGGCTTGTAGTTACTACTTGCCCCTTTTGCTGTTCTGTGTGGTGTCTTTTTCTTCTTTATTTTTAGACCTACGTAGGTATAGAGCCTGTGGTCTGTAATGGTAGAGTAGGATCATGTCCTCGGGGAGGTCAGGGGGTAGGGCAAGGGGCAGGGGGTGGGACGGGGGCCAAAAGGGGTAAAGGGAACAAGGTTGCCTGTAGGTTGAGAATTGGATCGTGGAATATAGGGACGTTGACGGGTAAGTCTATAGAGCTGGAAAAGACTCTCTAGAAGAGGAAGGTTAATATAACGTGTGTGTAGGAGACTAGGTGGGTAGGATCAAAGGCGAGGAATGTAGACCGGCATAAATTATGGTTCTCCGAAGTCGTGAAGGGCAAGAACGGAGTAGGCATTTTGGTGGATATGGAGCTCAGAGAGTCGGTGGTAGAGGTTAGGCGGGTGAATGACAAATTGATGGCGATTAAGTTAGTAGTTAGAGGGGGCACTGTGAATGTCATTAGCTTTTGCGTCGTAAACAGGCTTGGACGAGGAGTTTAATAGGCGCTTCTGGGAGGCGCTAGATGAGATGGTGCGGAGTATTCTGCCTACGAAGAAGTTATTTATAGGAGGGGATTTCAATGGTCATATTGGTTCGTCTGTTGGTGGCTATAGTGATGTGTACAGTGGTTTCAACTTTAGTGATAGGAACGGGGGTGGTACCTCACTGTTGGATTTCGCTAGATCTTTTGAGTTGGTGATCGTGAACTCTATGTTTTCGAAGAGGGAGGAACATTTGGTTACTTTCCGAGTATGATAGCTAAGACTCAGATTGACTACCTTCTCCCAGGAGGTGTGATAGGGGGTTGTGCGAGGATTGCAAGGTGATCCCGAGTGAGAACCTCGATACTCAACATAGGCTCTTAGTGATGGACGTTGGTATCTTGATGAAGATGAAGTAGAGGTTTGTACGTGGTTAGTCGAGGATCAGGTGTGGAGTTTTGTCTAA